CTGGGTGAGCATCCCTGCTGTGAGGGTGGCTCTTGTACAGACTGAGGCTGTAGCCAAGCCATCTTCACTTGTGAGCTTGTCTAAATTCAGTCACTGTTGCTTAAAGCAGTCCTTCCTCTGGCAGAACTGAGTGGTAGGGACAGTGCTCTCCCTGCCAGCGCAGCCAGAGGGGATGATGTACCCAACTCGCATCACAAAAGGGTCAGGAGTGGCCCATGGCTTAGGGAACATGCGAGGCACTAGAGGTTTGATATCTGCCACACATACATGTTTGTTCTGGAGAGCCCTGATACTCCAAACTGCTTGGTCTTGAGGTAGCCTCCAGCCCTGTTCCTGTCCTGCTGTGGGGTCTTTCTGTCCCTATAGCTTGTGTTGCACGGGCAGGGCTCTGGCATACAATTTAGAAGCAAGTGGGAAAACACTGGGATGGGTGATACTGCCAGGGGAAGCTCAAAGGCTAAGAGTTGGTGCCCTGCAGCCACTCAGACATCAGAAGGGACGAGGTGGCAGCTGCTGGCTTTGTAGCTGGTGTGGGTTGTCGTGTGGGCGTTTGTTGCTGCAAAGCTTCAGGAGCAGGTGGGTCCGGTCTTGGTGCAATCTTGGGAGGGGAGCAAAGAGCGTTACCCTGCACTGTGTTCAGAAAGGATGTATCCTCTTGCCAGGGAGCAGCAAGGGGTGGACAGGGAGATGCGGAAGCAGGGAGATCTCACCGCATCTGGGTTCCTTTCTAGTTAAACCACTTCCCCGGTTCATTTCAAATTGGGAGAAAGGACCGTCTGTGGCGCAATCTGTTGAAGATGCAGGCTCGCTGTGGAAAGAAGGAGTTTAACTTCTTCCCCCAGTCCTTCATCCTGCCCCAGGACATCAAATTACTCAGGAAAGCGTGGGAGGAAGGAGCTAGCTGCCAGAAATGGATTGTGAAACCAGTAAGTGCAAAGCAAAGCTCAATCCTCTGTCCCATTGTAGCTGCAGGGAGATCTGATTCCTTCTTGTTTGTGTTTTGCAGCCAGCATCAGCAAGAGGCATTGGTATCCAGGTCATCCACAAATGGAGCCAGCTCCCCAAAAGGAGACCGCTGCTGGTACAGAGGTGGGTGAAGGAAAACAAAGTTGAACACACAGCCTGTGGGACCTCCTAGTGTCTAGTCTCTCTGGCCAGGTCTGGGCTGCTGCCACTATGTGGCAGAGCAGAAGCACCTGATTTGCATCCAGAAACTTCTTGACAGCTCTGTCAGCTGCAGCTGGGCTTACCAGAGTGCTGCTGTCTCTGTGTAGATTTTTGAGGTCTTGGGTACAAGCTGGCTCCACAGGCTTTCTGGAGCTTCTGTCTGGCAAGTGATCAACTTCAGCTCTGCTGTGATCCTGCTCCCGTTTGTGTTGTACTCTGGGATTTGGCATCTTTGGAGGCAAACAAACCTTATCCAGTGCCCACAAGAATAGTGGGAGGAGAAGTCCAAGGGAAGAGGTGGCAGTCATCAAAGATTTGTTCTTATCCAAGTTAGAATGGGTCAGCAAGAGGCTCTGTGTGTGGTGTTGGTCAAAAGTTTTCTTAAAATAACAGGATTTTCAGAATCTCCTTCCCCTCTTGCATAAAAATGGAATAGCTCTTGTTTTGAGGCTGCTTTCTGGGAAACTTCTTGTGAGGGCAGGAAAACTGCCTGGTGTTGGGCAGACAGGGAACTGCTGCATTGGCTTGTCTGTTCCCTCATCTGCTTCCCATGCAAAGTGATAAGCTTTCCTATGGAAAATCATTTTTCTATGGAAAATCATCATTGATGAAAAGTTCCAACTGTTTCTGCTCACTGAACCAAACCATCTGTGGCCTACTGCATGTCCTAGATGTTCCTGAATATTGTGATCAGTCTTGTGTGTGTGGAAAAGCTACGGTGCCTTGGAGCTGGGGAAAATATCTTCAAAATGGAACTGAGCAGAAGGGAATACTGCTCATCTGCTGCAGGATCTCCCAGTGCATGGGAGCGCTTTCTTCTCTCTCATTTTGACTGTGATCTGCTTAACTTGGAAATGCTGTGCAAAAGGGCTTCTGCACTGATCCCTGGTTTTGCCAAGCCTGCTGAGGTGGGGGCTAGAGGTGTTCCTGCACACAGAAATCATAACCCTCTCCCGGTGCTTGCTCCCCTCCACAGATATCTGCACAAACCCTACCTCATTGGTGGGAAGAAGTTTGACCTGAGGATCTACGTTTACGTCACTTGCTATGATCCCCTCAGGATCTACCTGTTCAAGGATGGATTGGTTCGCTTTGCTAGCTGCAAGTAGGTTGTGCAGGACGGTGGTGCTGGGGGGCTGCCTCAGCACTGAGGCACGTGCGGCTGTGGTACCTGCCTCAGCTGGGGCAGGAGGGAGTCATCCCATATACGGTGATGCTTAACGCTGTAGCTTGCTTGCTTAAGAAGCAGTCTGGGAACACATGGTCACTGCAGGTGACAGTGTTGAAAGGGAATGTGAGAATATCCTTCGTTTGTCCACCTTTCCCAAGGCAAGATCAGTTCAGTGTAAAGCAGTTCTCAAAATATGCTGTCTGTGCTTCATATTGCATAAGAGCTGGCATACCAGAAACAGATGTTTTTTCCAGTGTTGACTATGTTGCCTTGGGCTGCTGCAGTTCTGTCAGTGCTTTTGCTCACCAATGCTCTGGTCTTTTCTTAAGGACATGCTATCAGGGTGGGATTGCATCCCACTGCCCCAAGGCAGCCTGCTCTGTGTTTCATGCTTTGTCCCATCAGCTCTGGACCTGTGGGGACAGAGAGCTCCAGGCAGCCTGTGGAAGGGAGGCAGCAGGGCTGGTGGGTGGCTGAGAGTGGTCCAAGACAAGAACAGAGTTTCTGCCTGCCCCATGGGCCTGGGGGCAGCCGGTTCAAGCTCAGACTGCTTGTGCTCCTATTGCCTCCTCCAGGTACTCCTCCTCGATGAAGAGCCTCAGCAACAAGTTTGTACACTTGACCAACTACAGCGTGAACAAGAAGAATACGGAGTACAAGTCCAACTCGGATGAGACTGCTTGTCAGGGACACAAATGGTAGGTGCTGCTTTTAGGGCACAGGGCAGTTCTTTCTATTCCCTGTTAAGTTCCCCCTTTTTTCAGTATTCTAACCCCAAACTTGAAGGTACTTCCTGTATTGTCTGCTCCCGCTTGGGGAAACTGGAGGAGCAGAGTGATTTTAGCATGGGTTAGTATCAGTGGAATCTGGACAATCTCCCTGGCTTGTGACTCATCCTGTCCACTACTGCTTGGGCTGTGGTTGCCGTTCATCCTGCCTGAGTCTGTGCCATTCCCTGCTTCCAATGCTACTCTCATCTGTGGTCATTCATCCCCTTGCCCCACTGCGGGGCTGATGGGATGTGGTTAAAGCAGAATCTGATTTTCTGCTGTAGAACTTAAATGGGTAATTGTGATGCTTAAATTGGCTAGATGGGAGCTTCTGCCCATCTCACTCTTGACTTCCCTGTGGAGGCCCCAGGCCTGATTCCACAGCGGTGTTTGAACTCTTTTAAAAATAGTGCAGGATAGAGTTCTCAATTCATGGGCCCGGGCAGGGCTACTTCACTTGAAAGGGAGCTGTAGAAGGTGGTTTGCTGTGATAGGATTGCTTTCTCAGACCTGGACTTGCTGCACAGTGGTCTGTTCCTTCATTGGGACTTTGAGAAGGGTCTGCTGTCCCCCAGCAGTTGAAATCCCATGGGGGTGGGATTGCGTGGGTTTTCAGTACTGCCATACAAGTCAAAGCTGGCTGCTCCCACGTTAAAGATGAGAGTGGCTGTAATCTACTCCATCTCGTATGCAGGAAGTGTGACCTTTGAATTCCTGGCCATTAGCCACACAGTCTCACTTGAGCAACATCTGAGCATCCTTGGCTCAGCGTCAGAGGAGCTTGCAGCACTTGGTGTGGTGTGGGAAACTCCTATAAAAGCAGAGACACTCCCCCCTACCATCTTGTTCTCCACATTTTTCAGAAATGTCTTTCCACCCCCGAAGCCTCAGTGAAATGGCTCTAGCTAAAAGATTTACTGGGGTCTTGCTGGACTCCTGCTGAGCTGATTTGCAGTGCTGCGGGGGGACGACCGCACGAAGGGGAGGTTTGCTGAGGACACAGAGGAGCTGATTTGCAGTGCTGCGGGGGAAGGCCTGCAGGAAGGGGAGGTTTGCTGAGGACACAGAGGGGGAGGGAAGAGAAGATCTGGGCCTGACATATCTTGCTCATGTGCTAATTTGGGACCTATTACTCCAGTGCTGGGACAAGTGTATGACAGATACATGCTCCTAGTAGCTTGGGCCTAAAAAACCAGGGGCTAGGCTGGAGAGGGCAACAAGTGGGAGCTGAGGGGTCTGAGGATGGCAGAAGGATGGCTGTGCCAGAGAAGAGCTTTGTCCAGGCTCCCGTCTGCTGCTTTCACTCCCCTAGCAGGGCTGGGCTACAGAGCTACCTCCTTTTTTTCTCTCTCCCAGGGCACTCAAAGCTCTCTGGAGTTACCTGACCCAGAAGGGAGTTAATAGCGAGGCCATCTGGGAGAAGATTAAGGACATCGTTATCAAAACCATTATTGCGTGAGTCCTGGCACCCCTTGTTCTGTGCCTGGCTGTGGGGTGTACCCTGGACCCTCTGACTCTCCAGGTCTCTCTCAGCCTGGTCCTTTTGCTCTTAACCTAAATGCTACCACTGCTGTTGGCTTCAGTATTTCTGGATCCTTCCTTTCATCCCATTACTTATGCTCATGCTGCGGTAGCTGCAGTGGGTAAATAGACCTTACATTTCCCGTGCCTGCCTGCAGTGCAGGAAGGGAGGCCAGGAGGGTGCAGTGTACCTGACACTCTGTCCAGCTTGCCACCCACTCCCCTGCTTGGCCAGAGTGCCTGAGAAGAAAGGTCCTCTGGTGCAGGATGGATTTTGTGTTCAGAGGTGCATCCTGCCTGACAGGGCAGGGATGCTCAGGGTGCAATGCTGGATCCGTACACAGTGCAGTAACAGCTTACAGGCCTGCGTTGATCTCTCAGCCCACTCGCTCCCGCACCATGTGGCTGCATATCCTCTCAGAACCAGCAGCGTGTGCTGTGAACAGCCAGAGCTCTGCTGACTGACTGTTGGAAACAAGTGGTTTTTCCTTTGCTTGCAGATCTGAGCCCTATGTGAACAGCCTGGTGAAGATGTATGTGCGGCGGCCGTATTGTTGCCATGAGCTGTTTGGGTTTGATATCATGCTGGACGAAAACCTCAAGCCCTGGATCTTAGAGGTCAACATTTCCCCAAGGTAAAGCAGGTTCTGAGCCACAGCAGAGTGGATAACGGCCTTTCTTCTACCACAAAGTGAATTTGTCTTGTGATGTCCTCTGCGCTCTGTGCAGAGAGACTGTGGGCTTTGAAGCCTCCCTCTCCAGATTGCAGGAATCAAAGTTCTCCCTGTCTGCAAAAGCAACATCCATCCGCAGCTCAGAAAGCTTTGCTGGGCATGCTCTAGCTAGAGCCAGGGAAGAGTACATTAAAAAAGGAAGGCCAAGGAGGGATGTGTCATGTAAGGAACGGTTGACAGCACAGATTTCTTCTTTGTGTGGGCAGAAGTGATCAGCGGCTCCACTGCCTTGTGCACTGTTCCTTGCTTGCTGACAGCAACGGCTGTGCAGGCAGGGCTGGGAGCTGCGGTGTATCTGAGCACGGCCTCTCTGGTCTGCGAGAGTGGATGGGCATGAGCTGGACACAGAGCTGTGATCTCAGATGGGGCTCTGGGGATGGATTTGCAAGTTTTCAGCAAATCTGGGAAGAGGTGGTGAAATGAACCATTTCTGGTGGGGAGCCCCCATTCAAAGAGCTGTTGTCAGGATTGTTCTCTTGATGTCTCAGGGATGTTTGTGATGAGGCAAGGGGCAGGCTTTGTTCCGTATCCTAGTCGGTATTAACCCAGGGAGTGATCTCAGGGCCTTGGGGCTTGCAACCTCCATTCTAGCACTCAGACTGCTGTGACGCTTCCTCCCCGCAGCCTCCACTCCAACTCCCCGCTGGACGTGAGCATCAAGGGCCAGATGATCCGGGACCTCCTCAACCTTGCCGGCTTCGTTCTGCCCAGCACGGACAGTGTGACCTCAGGGCCACAAACAAGAAGTGGCTCTACATGCAGGTCAGGCCCCTTCTCTGTCAGAGAGGCAGGCTTTTCTCTTGGGGGATTTCATCTGGGGGCTGCTTGCAGCCCAGCAAAGGCTGGTTTCTATGCTGTTGAGAGCCCGTGCTTGTTGGTCCTTCAGCTATGGGTCTGAGGGACTTGCATCATCGCAGGAACCAGATACCCAGGCAGTCTCTTCAAGGCAGAAGGATTTATGTCCTCTCTGCAGGTCCATAGTTGGAAGTGAGGCCAGTGTAATTTGTGCTTGCTCTGCAGTTAGTTGAGTTGTGCTCTCTCCTACTTCCCCCTGCCAGAACTAATGCGATGCTGAGCCACGCTGCCTCTCCATTTGCTTTGGAGGGCTGGCTGGCTGTGTTGGGGCTGGATCCACTTACCCTCTGCCCCAGGGCTGACGTGCTGCTGCCTTGAGCAAGAGGAGCACCTGTTATTTTCCAAAGGCTGGAGCGATCTGTTCCTTAGGCAGGACTGCAGGTGTCAGAGGCTATAGACCTATGGGTAGGGGTGTGCACAGTCTTACCTTGCAGCTAACATGACTGTTTCTTGCATAAGGCTAATTCCTGGACATGTGTCCACTCAGGCCCCTGCTCCTTCTGTGTTTCACCGCAGCTTGGGCTTATACTGGTTTCAAACCTGACCGTGGTAGGGAAACCAGACCTGTTCCCTGCAGCAGAGTGGCTGCTGGCTGTATGTCACCAAAGGAGCAGCTTGCTGGGATGAGCACCAGCACGCAGTGATGTATGGGCACACCAAAAGGTGGGACTTTTGCCCTCTGCCTGCCCTATGCCTTCAGCGAAGGGAGAAGCTTGGAGTGCGGGCCCGTTCCAGCCAGGGAGCTCTCGCCAGCTCATCTGCGGCGCTTTGATCACACGCTCGGTTATGGCTTGCAACGGAGGTGCTGAAGGGCAGGTGTCCTCCGAGGGACCTGCAGGGGATTAAGCAGATCCTTAACATGGTTTGGATGGTGCATTACCAGAGTTCCTGCATCCAGGGGCAAGCTTGCTTAACCATATCTCCTGCCCTGGGAAGGATATGAAGGGGGTTTTTTTTATGCAATTGGGCATAATTCCAGTAGATCCGTATGTTCCCCAAGCAGCATGCAGCACAGCCTGTAGGCTCTGCTCTCCCTATTTGGATCCGCACACAACTAATTATTTTTGCAGCAGGAGAACAAATTAGCTGTGTTGATATAAGTGTTAAAAGGTGTTGGACAAGTATCTCCCAGACTCTGGCATCCCCAAATGGTTCAGTGGGGTGTTTGGAATAGTTTAGATGGTTGCTGGTCAGATCATACAAAAGGCCAGGATTTCCCGTGGCATGTGGAGCTGGAGCTGAATTTGAGTCTTGAGAGTTCTTGGATGTTGCAGGACGAAGTTTTTGATCTAACTTCTCTCCTTTCTCCTTGCACAGTATCCATACCGAGCACTCGTACCCCCAGCCTGGTTGTTACTGTTAGGAAACTGCCTTCCAAGCAGGCTGTAAATGTGAGATCACACCAGGCTTCAGGTGCTGTGAATTGGGTCACAGTGTGTCTTTGGCTCTCTTGCATCCTCTGTGGGTGTGAGGTGATGGTTCACCTTTTGGATAAAGGAATGCTGAAATGCCTTAGCGAAGAGCTGGCAGAGCCCTCCCTGTTTCCCTGCCCACATCCTGCCTGGGTCCTGTGCTGATGCACAAGGCTGTGGGTGCCTCACTGATCTCAGAATTAGTGAAATCCTTGGAGAAAGTGTTCTCTCCTCCACAGCATCTTCCTGAGGGTGTCACTGCTCTCGCGGAAGTTGCTGGGAGCAGCTCTGCTGTGACAGGACTCTGTCTTCTCTGCTTAAATACTCTGCTGCCTCTTCTTGTGTCTGCAGTCTGGGCAGTGCTTTGAAGGAGAAGCGCAAGCCAGCATCTGAGCATTTCATAGCAGAGAAGATGAAGAAGGCCTATTACTTGACGCAGAAGATACCTGACCAGGTATGACACAATCTCTTCTGATACTTGCGCCATCTTGACAAGCCATTGTCCCAAACAGTCCCACATGTCTGTCCCTTGCCCCTCGTCGGATTGTGTCCCTCTGTGGGGACAGCCAGATGATGGGGAGCACTTGGGCTCCAGTGGGTTACAAAACAGCTGGTCAAAAATAAATTTGGTTTGCTTAAGCCACTGCTGCGCTGGCTCATCTTTAGATTAAAATAGGCACGTGCTGAGGGGCACGTTAGGTGCAGGTTAGCAGGGACACTTGCTTGTGTGCCACCTGGCAGTGTCTGTAAGAGAGGTTGGGCTACAGAGTTGGGGGTCTCCTCAGCTCTGTGCAGCATTGATGTCACCACTGAGCCTAGATTTCTTCATTTCCCATGTGGTCTGTGTCCTAAAGATCTCAGACACATGGAGGCCTCTGCCTGAGAGGGTTTGAGGAGTGGGGTGGTGGGAAGGGGGACCGACAAAATGTAGTTCAGCTCTCCCTGACCCTGGGTTGCTCTTGTCTGCAGGATTTTTATTCTTCTGTCTTGGACATCCTGACCCCAGATGATGTTCGCATCCTAGTGGAGACAGAGGACGAGTATTCCCGGCGTGGGCAGTTCGAACGGGTGTTCCCAACCCACATCTCCATGCGGTACCTGCGCTTCTTTGAGCAGCCTCGTTACTTCAACATCCTGGTGACTCAGTGGGAGCTCAAATACTACTTGAATAAACACAAAGGTAACTGCTGTTCAAGAGCCTGGCACGGTCACCTGAGTCAGGCAGGCTGCCTGCCGGCGGTCATGGGAGACTTCTGAGCTATGCATGTTGAGGGGGTGCTGCCTGCCTGTATGCTAGGCACAGGAAATGTGTTACCTTCCCAGACTACTTCAAATATCACAAAAAGCTTATTCTGAGTTGATCAGAGATGCTGACTGCTCTGGTAAATGTAGCACCAGAACTTCTAGGTGCTGTGGGGCTGAAGCAGGCTGGGATTCTGCCTTCAGGCTGTAGCTCTGGCCGCTTACTGCGTTCCTCTGCCCTCTTTTGAGGGAGAAACAGCTGGAGTCACTGGGCTTTGCTCCTTACAGGCGATCTGTGAAGCAAAGGAAAAATTGGGCCTATTCCCTGGTCTCCTGCTGCTTTCTAATTGATGAAAAACTGTCAGCGTGCACACAGAGGAATTTTTGCTAAACACTAGAAATCTAGCTATCTTTTCCATCTTTCCAGGACACAACTCTGTTTTTTAATAAAAAACATCCTTTAATGAGGCACAGCTGGGCTAGACCAATTCCTTCTCACCCAGGGTGCTCTCTGTCAGGGTAGCAGTAGAGGCTATTTAGGAGAGAGAACCAGTGAGCTCTAGTGTGAGGCATTAGAGAACATAAAAAGAAAGAGGCTGTGGCTCATGGCTCTCCATCCAGCATCTGATCCAGCTGGAAAGGCTTCTGCAGGAGCCAGCCCTCTACTGAGGCGACCGTATGTGTGCTCCTAGCCTGGCTGTCATGCAGAGAAAAAAAAAAATGCTTTTGTCATTTTTCACTGGTGTTAAAGCAAATATTAAAGGGGTTGGTAACTGTCTTTCACAGGGAGACAGTAACCTCTTAGCCCTCTCCAGCTGTGCTGTCAGCATGTGTCATCCTTTGCCTCGCTAATACCTTTGCTGGATGCTCTCCTGTCAGCTGGAAGAAAGGTCCTGTCATCATCCGCACTGAAGTGCTGCCCTGAGCTTTGCTGCTCAGGCCGGGGTCCTGGTTCAGTGCTCCAGCTTCCCAAAGCAGCCCAGCAAGAAGATTTGCTCTACCCCCTTGTTGCCCTTCACCTCTGAGCAAAACCCAACCTCCCCCAGCCCCTTCCCATTGACGTATGTTCCATGCAGCCCTCCTCTCTCGCCAGACAGCATGGTGCAAAGCCTGGGCTGGTGCACAAAGCTGGGGCAGGGCTGCCCAGCTGCCCTGCTCCCCTCGGCCCCCAACACGTGGGATTTTTTTTTTTTTTTTTCAAGGTCCTGGGGCTCACTGAAAGGTCACTGAGGAGAATCTTTGGGCAGCAAGGATTCCTCCTATAGCCAGGACTGGTATCGTATAGCAAATCACAGTAACCCCAGCTGGACAGCATCAAGTTCCTGACCATTGCTCTGCTGATTCTTAAATCTCAAGGCACCTTAGCTTGTGCTGTGGCTCTAAGATTCTTAAAAAAGAAAATGGGAAGGGACCAGTCCTGGATTTCCCAAAATCTCTGGGTTAGTAGAGAGCAGGGAGCTTGGCTGTAGTGGGGACAGCTAGCAGGAGGCAGGAGGAAGCCTTGGAGAAAGTGGAGCTGGACACATGGCTCTGCTTCAAGGTGACCTCCCTGTGCTCTGGAGCAGCACATCTTGTGTATGTCTGAAGGAATGGTCCCTTCCAGTCACACCGCCGGTGAGCTTGGTCCATGCTAGCCTCGCCCTCTGCCAGGGATGGAGACCAGGTCTCAACCCACATCGAGCTCCGGATGGATCCACCCAGGGAGGAGATGATGCGCTGGGATGCTGCAGCTGATCGGTCCTGTGGAAGGAGGAGGTTGCCTGAGCTGCCCTCCTCTGGGAAAGGGGATGGTGACAGCAAAGCTGCTCTACATTTGCACTGTAGGAACTTTCACAGGTGCAGCCCAAATCAGGTGCTGCTGTTGGCAGGCACCGGGCTCAGGGGAACAGCCAGTCTGGTCTAATTCGGCAAATCCTGCGTTGTCCCAGTTTCCCTGCTTCGCTGCATGGTGTGTCTGGCTCCCTGGGAGGAAAGCAGCCGCTGCGGCAGCCCACATGCTGGCACTCACTGTTGTTTGCTCGTACAAAGGGTGAACGCCCTCGGTTTACCCCGTGTTTGCTGGGGCTCAGGCAAGTGTTCAAGCAGTTCTTGCGCAGCACAGGCTATCCGGTCAGCTCACTCTGTGCTGCATATTTGTGTGCTCCGAGCTGGGAAGGCTTAGCTCTCTGCAAACTTGGTTGTTCATTCTCGCTTCTTGTCTTTTCTGTCACTTCCCAGGTCTGGAGCTACTGAAGAACTGGTGTGTCAAAGGGTACCACACCGGGGCAGGGACAGATTTGGGCCAGATGGTGCGTATGGCTGGGGTAAGCTAGGGAGAGGAAGTTGTTTGCTTTGGCAGAGTTGGGCAGAGAGCCTGCTTGTTCTGCTTCCTGTAGCTCCTGCCCTACCTGTTTGCCCTCTTCTTCCCTCTCTGCCAAGGCCTCCAGGAGTCCTGAAAAAGTCCATGCTTCTCTATTTCCCACCAACACAAAGTCCACACAGTATATGTGAACGTCCTTGGGTGTGCTGGGTGCAGCCCTACATATTTGGCACCTGGCCTGCCCTTTATTCCCCCCTCTGAGGGAGCCATCTCTGTCTGTCACTCCTGTGCCTTACAGCAGGCCGATCCAGTGAAAGAAATCCACTCTTTTGACCTCAAGATGCTCTGCTCCCACTTACAGCAGAGGGATTCATTAAGCAGAGAGCAAAGACTGCTCTGTTTGCTATTCTGGGAACAGTCTGGTGGCAGTGACGATACACAGCAGTGTGAGGCAGTTCAAGCTGAAGCATGCTAGGGCAGCCTACAGCAGAGCCCAGCAGGCTTGAGAGATTTTTGCCACGACTTAAATAGCTGTTTGGTTGTCTTTCCTTCTTGCAGTGGTCGTTGCCAAAGTCTTTCTTCCTTCAGAAGAGCAGCGTTCAGTCAAATGGCTTCAGCAAACTGGAACTGGGCAGACAGGGGTGAGTTTTCACTGGCCGTGACGTGCATGATGTTCACAGCATGGCTTTAGCACTGGCGTCCTGAGAGAGAACTGGCAGCAGGGAAAGCGGCTTTGTTTACAGGGAGAGGAGCAGGTTGGCTTGCAGGCTCTGAAGCCAGCCTCCACTCTCCGGAGAGCCAACTGGTGGGGCTGGCATGATGTCTGTGCGGCTGGGCATGTCTCCTTGGCACTGTACGCCCAGCTTGGGTGGGAGTGAGGCCCAGAACAGCCGGACTGGGTGATGTCTGGCGTTGTCGTGGTTGGGACACACTGACAAGATGTTCCCCACAGGGACCCGCGCCATTTCTGTGGGCTCTGGATGTGGCCAGTGGTGAGCAGAGGCTCTCAGCCTCAGCGTGGGCTGGGGGAGCAGCAAGGCCTCCAGGGCTGCTGCACTCTGACTGCTTCCGTGAGCAAAGCTGGGCTGCAGGATGGGTGCTGCCAGCCCCAACAGCCTCCTGCAGAGTAGTGGAGAATTGGGGTTCACCTGGGTGAGCCAAAGTGGAGGGCAGGCACGCCCCTGGTCTCTGGTGTTAAGGGCAACCCTGCTCCTGTGCCCAAGCCAGGATGAAGTTGAGTTTGCGTGCAGCCAGGGAGATCAAGCTGTGACCCTAAAGTCTCATCGCTGTCTTGGATGTCTGTTGGGGTGACTGGTGCTGCCCAGGGTGGGGGATGGAGTAGGCAAGCCTGGCAGCCTCGTCTCTGAGCCTGTGTGTGATGATACCACAGGTGAATGTGGCGCTGTGGCCCTTCTGATCCCTTCTCACTGTCCCTAAGCAGCACTGGGTCTCCTTTCTCCTGCAGCGCACGCCTCCCTTCAGCCGGTGAAGACCTGACAAGTCGCCTGGAGCCCAGCCCTGCTCAGAGCTTACCTCTCAGCAAGTGCGCTGGTGGAGCCGACCAGAAACCTGCTGGCTGCCTCTCGGACACCGCCCTGGTGATGTGACCAAGCAGCTGCTGTCCCTCCCCGGGGACACCTCAACCTACCTCAAAGGAAGAGACAGGAGCTGGCTCTGGAGAGCAAGGACTCTGGGAGCCCCCTGTGCTGCACGTGTGCCTGTGGGGCTGTTTTTAAAGAGGGATGTTTTACTGGGCAAATGGGGGAGCTGTGTGACTCCCATTTTTAAAACAAATGGCAAAGCCTGAGGAAGTTGAGTTTGCCTGGCCTTTGTCCTAGGCCTGACGTGGTGGTGGTGGTTTCTTTGCTGTGGGGGAGCGGGCTGAGCTTGGAGTTAGCCTGGCCTTCCCCTCCCCAGCCAGCCTGGGCAAAGCCCTTGCTTGCCTGTGTCTCCGTGTGCTTGTCCTGAGCCCCTGGGAGCCGCGTCTGCTCCTGCACCCTGTCCCGTAGCAGGGCTCCAGACTTTCAACCAACCCTTTCCATCCTTTCTGGATGCCTGTGCCAATGTCCTGCCCTCCCCTGCCATCGGGGCCTGGGGGAAGCCTCGGGCTTGCACCTCGCTGCTCGAGAGAGACCATGGGTACCCGCGTGGCTCTGGTTTGTCGGGGGGACAGTAGGGCTGCCAGGGAGGGAGCATCTTCTCCAGGCTGTCGGGTCTCCTGGGGGGCCCTGCAGTGTGCGTGCGGGGACTGCAGGCTGGTGCTCTTCTCCTGGGCTCTGCTCTCTATTTTCCCTTTGTTTCTCAAGGATTTCTATAAAAGTTTCAACACTCAGCTGCTCTCCTGGCCTCTGTCTGCCTCTGTTTCTCTGACCCCTTCAGGTCCATGGGGTGGAATCCCATGGAAGTGTAGGGTTTGTGCCGCCTCCCTGCCATTCCTCTGTCCTTCCCGCAGCTGGGGATTGTTCCTGCTGTCCCCTGCGTGGGGGAGTGGCTTCCAGCGCAGGTGCTGGGGGTCTCTCCTGCAGGTGGTTAACCAAGGGGGACAGAGCAGCCCAGCTCCACAACAAGGGAAGGAAGGGTTGGGTCCCCTGAGCTGCCCCTTGCCCATTTCGGGTTATGTCCCCTGAGCCCGGCAGGGGAATGATGCTGGGCACTTGGGCGGGTTGCTCGGAGCGGGGTTGCTCTGGGTCGTGCCGAAAGCCCTTCCCTCCCCGCAGCCCCCCGCTGCCCGCAGCCGGGCCCTGTTTCCCCGGTCTCCCTGGTGACAATCTCATCGCTCCTCGGCTTCCCTCCAGCACCTGAAAATAGCCGCCGAAAGCGG